GGTCCCCCCTTTGCCTTGTTTTCACCGCGCTAAACCGGCGTGCGTTTGTACACGCGTACAGAATGCTGTCTCCCATGCGCGGCGACGACAACCCTCCGCGAGAAAAGATGCCGGCAAAGCAGCACTGGAAAACCATTCGAGGCCCGTATTGTTCCCGCTTACGATGTTCGAGGCTGGCGGCGGTAGACTCTCTCCGGTACGGGTGGCCGACGCGTTTTGTCGCGTTTCGTCCCGCCAGAACATTGGTATTAGATTGCTCCTTTTCGAGCGGTAGTTTTCGAGCACGCTGCTGCACAGTTTCACCGTAGAAAAGAGATCACCGTGCAGATGAGATTTCCGTGAGATTTCAATCTGCGATCTGGGATTAAAGTCTTTGACAGTGCGATACACGCGCGCCGAGGGCTCAGTTATCAGAAATTGCAGATAAAAGTGGAGCAATTAGATATCGACTGACGAAAATTAAGAATTTGGAACAAGTAATCTACAAAGCAAAGAGTGAATTAATGGTTATCGAGAGAACATAGTTCGTCCATTTGTTCAAAAAATACACTATTGTCGAAGATCCCAATATTGTATTGTTGAAGATCCCAAACAATCCTTCAGGTAGGAACCAATAAATTTCCGAGTTCAATTTCCGACGTTCAAACTCTGTCGAACTGCGGTATTTAAATCCAAAGAATTGCTCGTTCGAACTCCTTTAACGATTAACCCCTTTATATCGTTAGGGGCACGACGACAATTCAGAACGTTAGAAATTTACACTTTCGTTCCACCCTTAACGCGAAAGCGTTAATTTAGCCTTTCAAAGAAAAAGATCCTCGGCAAACTACCTGGGAGGATCCTTGCAATTTGCGGTCAGGAGCGATCCTCTAATTTCACTCATCGCCGCTTGTATTTCACCGCTTTTGTTAACCGCTGATTCGACGAGAAATATCGTTCGGCCGGCAATAAAGTTTCCGCGCCGCGGGGACTGATAAAGCGCGGCACACATACACACAGCGTGGCTCAATGTTTGGAGGTGGTGGTGGTGGTGGGAATGTTGCGCGCTGCTTCTATATTTTTCTCCTCGGCGCGGCGACATTTTTCAAAAGGTGCGGATATCATCGGGGACCATCTAAATCATTCTCCCAGCACCACGCACCCTATGCTCGGCCTTCGCAAACACCGGCCCTCGAAAACACGCTGGGACCAGCGGCGCGTGTTGTCGGGAGAGACCTGGTGATTTTTTCGTTAGTGCTTGCTCATCGAAAAAAAGTTGGCCGACAAAAACGAGTGGAGGAGGAGGAGGTGGCGGGATGGGTTTGAACGCAGGTCAGGTCAGGAGGGTGGCGATGCGGAAGTGGTGTGGCGGAGACACGCGGGCGCGGGAGCACGTTGGATTACCCGTCGACCGAATGTACGAATGGACCGCGTGTGGTTCTCCGAGATTAGCCTCGGCTTTATATCGGGATTACATATGTAAAACCATTAGGTTAAATCATTTTTTAAATAAACGCATCCTATCCCCTTCTCGCCGGTGGCCGACCGGCGCCGGGACAGATACGAGACCGGCCTGCCTGCCTGC